AAAAAAAAAAAAAAAAAGAAAATCAGATGGCATCTTACCTTCTCAATAGTAATATTGGTTGCTAGAAGTGAATAGAGTAGAAACTTAATCTGATCTGAAAATGACTTGAGAAATAAAGCCACCCAAACTAGCATTTAAGTAATAAGGACTAGATACCCTCTCCCAGGAACCTAAGGAAGCAAGTGCTCAAGCAAAAAGGAGTAATCCAGAAAAGAGAAAGACATGGAATCGAGAAAAAATCCAGGTCCCGTTACAAGAGAACAGTGAAGAAATGCTACATGGTAATAGCTGTGGAGGGGATCTAGAAGGCAAATAATCCAGACTGGTTCAACTAGGACAGACGGCTCCAAGAAGGTGGTGTCCGGAAATAAGGAGGACCTCAGATGGAGTGTTTAGAAAAACGTGAGACCATGATGCAAACGGTAAAAGGGGAAAAGGCAGGCAATTATTAACTCAAGAAAAATGTTAAAAGCTTGTTAGAAAAAGAAATAAAATTAGCAATGAGCAATATTTACGAAATTCTAATGATATAAATTCTGACTTTAATAAAAATTGAGATTTAATCATATTAGAAGGATTGAGGGTGAGCAGGTGGAACATTTAAAAAACACAACAGACACTATCTAAAACTGATAAAACAAGAAATATCTAGGAAAGCATATTATTTAAAAACAGTGGAAGTGACAGCTGCCTGTCAGAAACAGAACTTGAGAGTAGAGAGGAGCATGAGATAGGGAATAAGCTGCTAGTTTTCATTATGTCTTTTAATGCTACTTAATTTTATTTTTTAACTATTTCTTTGATATAAATAAAATTTAAAAAAAACAAAAAAAGCTCCTAGATACGAAAATAATATTTACTTGGGTTTTTAGGTACATACTTTATTCTTAGGGAGGTCAGGAGTGTATATACTTCACATGCTCCAATCCAGGCCTTTGTTCCCTGTAACGTGTTATTAAGTTGAGAGGCCCCCTGAGGATCAAAACCTTCCTTCCACGCATCTTCAATCATAGACTGAATTTTTGGAATGCAAGGAACTGACATACCTAAAATCACACAAATAAACATGTTATGTGACAGGTACTAAAGTACTGAACAACATCATTTAGCAGTATTATCATATACTATAGAGGAACCTACAACACAGTTTTTAAGACAATTATTCCTCACATCTTCTATTATATCATCTTCTCTTCTTGCAACCAGAATTTAGGTTTATTATGTAAATATCCCCCAACTTTGTTGAAACTATAATTGTCCCTGCTATATATTAATTCATTCCACATCAAACAAATTTTATCATATGACAAGTTCAGAGTCATACCTTTCAAGCAATCATCATAAGCATCATTTTGTAATAATGATGAAAGAAGCATCTGGAAATTTCTGTAACCGCAACCCCAACCTTTGTCACCTAACGATGAATGAAAGTGATCCACCACTGTAGAAAGCCACACATGCCTCACATCTGTGGCAGCATTCTGATAATACCTATGAAGTGCTTCCATAATTCCTAAAGCAAAAAAGAGATACAGAGATTCAGAAGGATTTGTTACCACCTTTATATGGCTACCTCATATATTTTTAGCATCAACCTTTCCCTCAAGTTACACATCTAAATCCTGTCAATTCCATCTTCTTCTTTACCTTCTTACTGCTCCAACTTTAGTTCATGTCCTTGGCTTGTTACTACAATCCAATTTTCCTAACACTAGCATATTACCTGTTACACTGAATTCAAATTGTTTGCATCTTTCATCTCTGCAGCTGCAGACATTTTATTATGTGACAGAACTGAAATTGAAGATGACTGTCCTAGGAGAAGGGTAAACATATCCATCTCTTTTCCATATTCTAGTCTTCTGATCTGGGTAGAATTAGAAGGCCAGTCACGTGAAGTGGAAACGCAGTGTTCTGGGGGAAAGCACAAGCCCATGCTTAGGAAGTGAGTGGTTTTTATAAGAGCTTTTTGTTTGTTTGTTTTACCACCATCTACCAAATTTTAAAACATGATATTTGATGAGGACTGTGGATTTTCATGGGTTTGGTGGTAGGGAATATGGAAAGGATACACTACTAATCTTTTGTCTAACAATAAGCAGGTAACAACTAAATGCCAGAAAACAAGCTGTTTGAGCTCACATATATACACAACACAATTCAGAAATACCCAGGAGGACTCCTGCAGGCTTAATGGATGGCTTCCTATTAACGTGTATCAACATTTATTACAAGAGAACATAAAACTTGGGGAAGCAAATTTTCTTTTATTTCCCACCCAACTAAAAGATAAGGAAGGTGAAACCATCACCAGAACAAAACAAATTTTTTCCAAATAAGTACATTCATAGTACTGAGTTGGCAGTTAACTCTTTTGCCCTCCTACTAAATATGAGAGAATCACCACTCTGTCCTGCATATTTTCTACAGCCTGGACAGCCTCGGAAACATTTCCACTGTGAGGCTACTTGGTAGAATTAACGGGCTACTTTTAAAACTTCTATTATTAATAGTTCAAGCTAGTAAAACCTTATACTTCTCTATTGTGCCACCACTAAAAGCACCATTAGTGCAAAAAAAAAAAACCCAAAACAAGAGACAAGAGAATAGAATAGGTAATTCATTTAAGAGTAAATTAATTCAGGAGTAATCAGGGAAATGCAAATTAAAACTTACGTCATCCCATGACTCACTACATGGCAAAAATTAAAAAGTGTCACCATACATGTTGTGAGAATATACAAGGAATGCAGATTATAATCACTTTGAAAAACAATTCCACAAAAACCTTAACAAAGCTGAGGATCTGCACTGTCCTTTAACTTAACATTCCAGTTCTAGCTGCAATGCTAGAGAAACTCTTGAAGAAGATCTGTTCCTAAATTATAACAGTAAAAAATTGGAAACAACCTACTATCTGCCAATATGAAAACAGGCAATTTGTATATAATTCATAAAAGGAAATACTACAGAGCAGCTAAAATGAATGAGCACAGCTCTAAGAGCCAATATATTTGAGTAAAAAAACTTACAGCATACATATTATATCCCATTTATATACAGATTAAACATATGTAAATTATATATTTATAGAAATGTACATACACATATGATTACAGTATTTGAACATGTATGAGACTGATAAATATCAAATTCAGGATAATGGTTCCCTTGTGGGGGAGAAGAGATTAGAATCAGAGAAGGGGTACACAAAGGGCTTAAAATACACATAAAAGGTTTTACAGCTTTAAAAACTTTTAAGTAAATATGGCAAAACGTTAACATTAAAAAAATCTGGGTGGTAGGAACAAAGCTGTTTCTATATAAATTTTGTTACTATACTAACAGATATACAAAGAAAATAATTTTTAACAATACTCATCAGGAAAAAAGGCATGCTTTGGAGTACAGCAGACCTGACTGCGAATACTGGCTGAGCCAATGACTAGCTGTGTAACTTTGCCTTAGGTCATTTAACCTCTTTAAACATAATGACTTCATCCAGAATATGTAGCAGTACATAAGAGGATGTTTGTTTTGAGTTAAATAATACAATGTATATAAAACTCTTACTGTCTAAAAATGTACTGAATGATAAATAGAATAGCAGCTTGTCACTTGTGGCTATTGAGCATTTAAAATATGGTTTTTTTAACTGAGATGTGCTGTAAAGTAAAAAATACAAAATGCATTTTGAAGAATGTATAAAGAATGTAAATTATGTCATTAATTAAAATATCTTAATATTATTTAATATTGATTACATGTTGAAATAATAATATCACGAATACATTGGGTTTAAACTATTAAAATTAATTTCACCTGTTCCTTTTTACTCTTTTTAATGTGGATTCAGGAAATTTAAAATTATATATGAGGCTCATAGTATCTCTCTACTAGACAACACTGGTCTTCTAGAACATTGTTAGTACCCAAAAAAAGTTTTTTAAAAGGTTCATTTTTAAATGTCAAGTAAATTAACACAATACAAAAGAAAATTATCTTTAAGTGAATTATTTATTGTAAAAATAGAAGTTCAGAAGTTTCAAAACAATACATTTTAAAAAGATATTTGAACACAGTCTTATGCAAAACTATATAAACCATGGATCATGAAAATTAAGCAAAATCCAAATGATTTTGATTATTACTTCAGTGGTATATGCAATATTAAAACTATGATTTTGGTGTACTCACCAGAAGTTTTTGTTTTTCCATCATCGATACCAATTGCTAGCGATTCCATCATATCAGCTTTTCTTCTATGAAATTCAGATGGATGCATTCTTCCCCTATTTACTTCTATCTCCATCTTTCGTAGTTGCTGTTGTTTGTAGCCTCCAGAATTATCTAAACCATATTGTCTCTATTGAGACATAAAAGACAAAAAAAAACTCACGTAACTTTTATGTCCCTGTACCTTGATGAGGACACAAACTTAACTACAATTTTATTTTAAAATATTTGTTGAAATATTTTGGCTTAAAGACTTTATACAAGTCAACTTAAAGATTTTTATGAAAACTAAATCACACACATGCAGATCCCTGACTTAATAATAATCACTTCTCTATAAGCAAACTCTGCGGCAAGAGTCTTACTTTCCTTTTAGCAGGGAAAGTAGAGGATTCCTGTCTTTCTACTACAGGTATTGCGAAAGGCAGAAGAGTTCTGAACATATTGCTGATTTTTTCCAAGAAACTTGTTAGTCTTTGTTATTGGGTTCCCAGGCTAGTCCACAAAGGCTTACGTATTTCATAATTCATTCATTCAATCATGCCACCCAGTAAATGAACTATGTTTCTGCACACTGGACTGAGAAACTCAAACTATGTATAGAACTGATTCTATCTAAAGAACTAACTTGCAAAGATAAATAACAAACCTCCTTAAATATTGGAAACTTTTTGTATTGATGATGTTCAAAATTATATAAGGCAAAAAAGACTTAGGAAAAGCCCATTTTCTTTCCTCTTCTGAATCTGGTGGGAAAATATTTTGCAAGTAAATGAATCATCAGTGAGAACAAAATCCTAAATTACATCTTCCAAAGCACATTCCAAGGAAACATAGACATATGAGATGTCTGAGAAAAAAAGAGGTCAAAAAAGTCCGGGAAAATTATGATATGTACAATTCATGTTAGTATATTAAAGGCTCTAAGAACTCCTTAAGTATACAAACCTGTTTAATTGAACACTTTGAAAACTACTCAATCATAAACGCTTTTTATTTACACGTTATCCTATTAACACATAGAAAAAGAACATTTAAAAACTCTATGAGTGGCCGGGCACGGTGGCTCATGGCTGTAATCCCAGCACTCTGGGAGGCCGAGGCAGGCGAATTGTTTGAGCTCAGGAGTTCGAGACCAGCCTGAGCAAGAGCTAGACCCCCGTCTCTACTAAAAATAGAAAGAAATTAATCGGACAACTAAAAATATATATAGAAAAAATTAGCCGGGCATGGTGGCGCATGCCTGTAGTCCCAGCTACTCAGGAGGCTGAGGCAGGAGGATTGCTTGAGCCCAGGAGTTTGAGGTTGCTGTGAGCTAGGCTGATGCCACGGCACTCTAGCTGGGGCAACACAGTGAGACTCTGTCTCAAAAAAAAAAAAAAAAAAAAACCTCTATGACCATTATTAGCACAGATGACACTAAGATCCACAAATTGGGATTGAAAAAAGGAGAAACGGATGTTAAAAATGTAAATGCAGTAAAAATATAACAGATGCCGCCAGTTTAGTTCAATAGATACCACCACCCACCTAAGATAAATAAAGTCTCAAATATCATCAAGAAGCATTTCCCATTAAAAATGATTCTTTCTAAATACTTGAAATTGCAATCTGTAAAAGAATGGAAGACTCAGGAGACATTAATTCTAAGTATAAATTTCATTTCCAAGTATCTATACAAACATTTAAATTCCGAGTCTTGGTCTCCTAATTTGTCCCATCAACTTACATAGGTTTGAATCCAAGCTTTACCACTTAATAGCTGCCTGACCCTGAGCAAGTTACTTAACCATTCTTTGTCTCCATTTCTTCATCTGAAAAAAAAAGAAGGGGGGCTAAAATAACTTCTTTATGTATTTGTTATAAAGATTTTTAAGAGACTATACATGAAGTGATTACTCCAGTACCTAATTAGAATGAGTACTCATAAATGGTGGCTGTTATTAACTATAAAATATATGTAACAATTTTTTTAATAATAAGGACAAAAATAATAGGCTGGAGTTTTGAAAGCATATTTGAAAAATAAGAATTCTACCAAATCAGGCTGGGT